CTAGTGTAAAATTTGATTTCAGTGGTAGTATATGGATTTGAAATTATTTGACAATCCTTAGTGATTTTGATTCATCGTTGAATACCCTTGATAAAATTTCTGGGTCCGCCACTATTTATGTGCATCATACGTAACAGTTGAGAAACGATGTCGTTTAAGCCTTATTTAATGGACATTCATTTTACATAATGAAGACTAACATCATGCTACATAAATTGTCTAAGTCATTATGAAAGTCTTACATAACACGTCTGATTTAACTATAACGTGATAAGTAAACTATCATTTCGTAATCTTCGCGTAATGTAATATATTTACCTAAAAGTTGTAAATGACACTATAAGTAAATCTTGCATAGTTGATGGTCCTTTGTACGTTATGATTAATAACCCGCGGCAGAGCCAATGTATAAGAGGGTGGGTCCCGGGATCTACCTTTGCTCAGGAGAAAACATATAAATATAATAACACAAGTGATAAAATGGTAATAAATTATATACGGCTGTTTTCGTATTTTCTCACTCTAATGAATTAGAACAATCAAGTGACCTTGTTTACCCATACAAAAATTAGCGTGTACCACATCGATTAACTATAAGAGATTTAATCGATTTATAAGGTTAGCTCAACATTAATAATTAAAACAACTAGTTGGGCCTTGTTGGGTTGAGTTTTTGGGAATAAGTGGCCAAACCCCTTCTTCCCTATACGATGGCCGTCCGTCTCCTTGCTCCCATAGCTGGACGATGCCTCCACCCCTTGGTATGAAATTTGGCTCCCAAATTCTAAGTCTGGAAACAACGCATCACAACGGGATGCCAAACGATTGGGTACCAAGCCAGGTACCAAATAGGGGGTCATCCAAAAACTAAGTCTTTAAACAAGGCGACACAACGGGGTGCCAAACCACCAGGTACCAAGCCGGGTACCAAATAGGGGGTCATCAAAAAACTAAGTCTGGAAACAAAGCGGTAGAACGGGGTGCCAAACCACCGGGTACCAAGTCGGGTACCAAACATGATGCCATAGCAATGGGGTACCAATGGAGCCAAAGGGGTATCAAGCCGATAAGGCAGACTTGATACTAAAAGACCTGAAATTTGGCTAAGTATGGAGCCAACAGGGTACCAAGCCGACAAGGGATGGCCTGGTACCATGACATTGAATTTGGCTAAGTATAGAGCCAAAGAGGTATCAAGCCGGCAAGGCATGCTTGATATGAAAAGACATGAAAGTTGGCTAAGTATGGAGCCAACAGTGTACTAAGCCTGCAAAGCAGGCTTGGTAGCGAGATGTGAAATATGGCTAAGTATGGACACCAAGCCGGCTAGGCAGGCTTGGCAGCCAAGCAAAAGGGTACCAAGCTGGAAAGACAGCCTTGGTAGCCAGGCAGCAGGGTATCAAGCCAGCAAGACAGACTTGATATCAGTTTACCAAACCTCCTAAAAAACTTAGTATGGAGATCAAAGGGTGCCAACCCGATAAGGAGGTGACAAGTTGGCCATCTGAGGTGACTACCCAGCAGGGTACCAAGTCATCATGAACATTGTGCCTAAGGGGCTATATGGAGACTAAGTCCCAAGATGAGTTTGGTGGCCCCCTAACGGGGTACCAAGGCGACAGGGTGCAAGGTACCAACTTGATAAGATTGCAGAAACTAAGTATGGAGACCAAGCCGGCAAGGCTGGCTTAGTAGCAAGGGTATCAAGCCGAAAAGATTGGCTTGATACCAAGATTACAAGTTGGTGACATGACAGTCTCTCTAAGACTAAGTGTGGAGACTTTGGGGTAAAGAGGCAAGTTCTCATCTTGTCTAGGTGGGTAATATGGCCTAACTATCAAGACGGTTCATGGAGGTGGCTAGCAAGATGAGGAGCGTGGAGTGGTCAGGACTGTCGAGGATGTGATCAAGACTTCATCATGGAGGTTAAGGCAAAGAGGCTCAACACCAGCCTGACCTGGCATCGAGACCATCAAATACCCACCAGCCCCAAGACGGGACAAGGGCCCCCAAGGCGATGGTTACCAACTAGTCACCAAGGCGATGATAAGGGGCCCCGAGGCGGTTTGGAGCAAGAGGCCAGCTAGCACTTACCAAGGCGGTTACCAAGACAGTTACACCTAGTGGCTATAAATAGGAGAAACTAAGATTGTAAACGGGTTCCACAACCAACAATTTGACACACAATCTCAAACTTTTATCTTTTCTCTGCAAATTAGCCATAGTCTTAGTTTTTGGAGCTCTCACTGAACCTCCATAGGAACATGTGTAATTAACGTAATTTGTTCCCAAAAAACCATCAAAACACCAAAAACCCTCGTTTGAACATTGTTCGGAGAGATATGAACCGTGTTTAGAATCGTTGTTCAATAAGTCAAATGTGCATTTACTAAATTCAAACACAAGAGTTTTCCTCGCCGGAAAACAGACCTTATTAAAAATAATGTTATTGGAGGTCCCATGTAAAAATACTATTCAACTTGAAATACCATAATCCTGCGGGAGAAAGAGGGGAAACACGACTTTTCTGATCAACAAAATAGTGCTCGATCTGGGAAATATATTCTACACGATTTTTGTTTTAAGCGATGCAATCGATCATGTCCACTTCATAGTGCACCTGCCCAAGTTTAGTTAACAAAGCGATATTGAACCCTTATCCTCCTCACCTTTATTATCCTAGAAAGACAACTTGTAACGTATAAGTTTAATTTACTGCAATATTAGTATAAAATATATTCTTACTTTTATCTACTATGCAAAACTTCGCAGTAACTCTAAGGGATAAAATTTAAAATGATATTTCGGTGTAATTAGTTGACATTTACATAATTTTCGATGCAAGATTACACTGGCGTTTAGACATCTTTGAGCGGCATTTGAATATGATGCTAGCACCATTTCCCCCCATCTATTGTGCTTAAACTACTGTTCTTGCCTCCTTGGATCGGGGCTGCAAATGAATCAAACTATTCACAAGCGGCTCAGCGTTCAGCTTGGCAAAAGCGCGTTCGATACTCAGCTTTGTTCGGCCTGCGAGTCAGCTAAACTCGGTGGCTTGTTGAACTCAACTCATGAGGTAGCTCATTTCGAGCTATGGGAAGGATCGACGGTATGAGCTCAACTCATAGTAGCTTATCATTGGCTTGTTGATTACTAATTGATTTTTTAGATGAAATATCTCACCACATATGATGCTTAAAAATTTGAACATGTGATCAAATATGTCCCATTTATAATTTAAAAGAGAAATTAGGTATCATAGATTGCTCAGACACTAAATACTATCAGATAACATGATATGAACAATTCAAAATTTTGAACTAAATGATACAATACTTTAGCTCGTGCTGATCACGAGAGCTAATTGATGAACCGAGCTCGAATAAAGCTCGTGAGCTCATTAATGAGCCGAACTTGAGCCGAACTCGAATCATACACAAATCACAATTTTATTAAACAATAACCAAACTCCAGCTCGACTGTTTTATTAACAAACCCAGTTCAGTCAAAATCAAAAGTAGACTCGACTCATTTGCTACCTAGTTTGAATGGGTTAGAAATTCAGTTCGGGAATTCTATTGTGTTTATTGGAAAATCTACCAATGATAATTGAATATAAAATTATGATAAACGGAAGGTTTCTTGCTAAACTTGGCATCTTAATTACTCATTAAAAAGGGGGGATATATAATACAGACTATGGCGAACTTTGAATTGAATGGAGCATTGAACAAAGCCTGACCAAACCAATGACTATTACCAAGCTGTTGAATTGAAATGAGCCCACGTGATGATATCATCGAATCCCTGTCAATAAGACAATCACCTCAGCGGCCGCTTCCTTTGGTTTTGATTAATTAGAATGTAATCTCTGATTAGGCGAAATCAGACAGCAAACTTGTCAATTAAAGAATAATCAATATGGCGGATCATAGAGAATGGTCATATGTGTTTGTTTTGTGTGTACTGAACTATCATGAGTAACTAACCTGACTGGCATAGTTTTCGGTAAGAAACTAATTTTATTTGCAATTCCATCTATTCATTTAATGTTTTAGTTGAAATCAAATAATTCAAAAAAAAAAAATAGTTTGAATAAGATACATTCATAAGCTTTACGTAGTATCTTAATTATTACAGAAGACTTACGTAATACATTTGTTTATCCGATACATAAAAAAATATCTCTCCATTAACCTTACGTTATAAATATAATTTACGTAAATATTATAGAACAGTGTAGAGTCCAATATAATTATTATCTCGAAAGCTCAAGGTATGTATGAGAAAAAGGTCAAAAACTCGAGAACGAAGCTGGATATGGAAATTCGTAGACTTGGACCGTTGGAACCCCCTGTGGATGGTCCGAGAAAGCGTAAGAAGAGAGTGGGGATATCAGTGTAGAAAACTAATGGGTTCTTCTGTGCTAATCTGGAACGTTCGGGGGCTTGGGGACCCGGATAAGAGAAGTCGTGTTCATGGGATTATCAGATGCAGGAATCCGAATATCGTAGGCCTTATTGAAACAAAATTGGAGCAGTTTTCTGAATGCTCTCTGAATGCTCTCCGAAACTCAAATCTCTGCCCACTCCTCGGCGCCGGCCGCCGCCCAAACTGGCCGTCCGCCGGATGCCATCTTCCTCTCTGAAACTTCTGCACCTTCCTTAGACATGGCGATGAGTCCCGTCCACTCGAAGGAATCAGCCTTAGCGAACCCCTCCAATTTTCCGCCGCTGAATTTCAAGTCAGCGCTCTCAGGCACAGGCCACGTTCCAAAAACCACCGCCAATCGGTGGACTTTCGTGGGCGAACAGGATCTGGTGGCCGGATCTTTTGCGGGGGAACCAGAGCTGAAAGTCTCAGAAAAATTAAAAGAAAGACTTTGTTCTCCGTGGAAGAAAACATTAGTTATCCGGCTGCTCGGGCGATCGGTCTCGTACAATTATCTATGCTCCCAACTCAGATGGAAGTGGCGCCCGACTGGATCAATGGACATCATGGATCTCAACAACGAGACCTTCTTGGTAACGCTCTCCAATGATCAAGACTATTTGAAGGCTCTTACTGGAGGGCCATGGGAAATCCTCGACCACTACCTCGTGGTTCATCCCTGGTCACCAAAGTTCAGAACGTCCGATAAGATTCACAAATCTGTCACCGCCTGGGTCCAACAACCGGAGCTCCCTGTACATTTCTACCACCGGGAAGTCTTGTTCGCGATCGGCAATCGTATAGGTAGAACTGTCAAATTGGACTACCACACTGAGATGCTGGAAAGGGGGAAATTTGCAAGGATTGCCATAGAACTGGACATGACGAAACCTCTCCCGACCCGCATTCGATTGGACGGATACTGGCAACAAGTTCTGTACGAAAACCTCCCCCAAATCTGCTTCGAATGTGGAAGAATCGGCCATTCGGAGGACACTTGCCCAAAGAAATCGAACAATTTGGCCACTATGCCAACTCCAGGGTCTACAGTGCAATCAACAAACGGCGCCGCCCAGATCGAACCGCCGGTGGAGCCGCCGGCCGGCTATGGTCCTTGGATGCAGGTGGTGTGCAAATCCCGCAAACCAACTAGGAAAGTCAGCGACAATCAAGGAAACCATCCAGCAAAACCTACAAATCAAGGGAAGCCAACGGCTAAAAGCACGGGATATTCAAAGGGAGATACTCATGGCACAACGACCGGGAATGATGGAAATGGAAAGGCGAATCACAAATCCGAGCAAAAGAAAGGAAAATCGGATCCTCATAAGGGGAAAGTTTCAGCGAAGGGAAGCAAACCTACACAGGGAAACAAGAAGGTTATCAACGGCTCTCAGGAATGGATCCCGATGGGAGCTGTCAAGGAGGCCTCAAACATCCAAAGCCTGGTTACCGACTCTGGGCCGTGGACTCAGAGCCCACTTTTTGCTGGCCCAAATGACCCAGCAATGGGAATTCTCTCTTCCAGCACTGCTTCGGTCAAGCTAAGCCCAGAAGTTACTATAAAGGAAAACGCAAACCCAAATGTCCCCTCTCATTCAGTCAGGCAAAACTTCGAGAAGAAAAATAACATCGCTTCGCCTGGCCCTGGAAGTAAAAATGATCGACATCTGAAAATTGCAAAGAAGCCAATTCAGAACTCCACTGTGATGAAGCGCGAAGTAAATCAGCTGGTGAAGGAACCCACCTTCCCTATCACTCAGCGGGATATAGAATCCTTCATCATCCAATCTAAGCGTAAAGCGGAGGAATTCGGAAAGGCCGTAGCTACGGCGGCTAGCGACGTGAGAATGAAGGACAGTGCGGCCATTCCCGGAACCCAGAAGACCAATCCGGATCAGAGCACCCTGCCACCGCCGATCAGCGCGGACTAACAGGGAGTCCCTTTCCGCCTGACACGCCAAAACACAACACCACACTGCGACCAAGTGTAATCGCAGTCCGGGAATGCAGTAACAGGCAAGTTTAATTATCAACCCGGGGTCTAGATCTACTGCTTACTCCGCGATTCTCTATTATCTAGAAAACTAGTTCGAGTGATTGTTGTTAAAAGTAAAAGCAACAAGAAAGCAGTAAATTGTTCGGTTTTCTAAAGCAGGCAAGAGTCACTCGGGATTGAGTCCCCCTAGCCCCTTAGTTAGGTTCAATTGTAATTCCCTGGATTGATTTACTGTTGATTAGACTGCGGAAGATCCGACAGTAGCTTGGAATCTCTTAAGCTGACCAAGCCCTCTCAGTCTAACTACCCGGCAGACGACTAGTCTTCACCGGGATAGAAAGCTGAGGCTATGAACACAGAACTCCACTACTGGCGCCGAGAACACCAGTACAAAGCAGTAAACTGGCTAACTCTCGTATAGCCAATCTCCTACTATCGAATGAAGAGGCTCTAACAACCTAATCAGATTCTATCTATCTCAGGTTGCAGCAGAAATTGAGAAAAGCTGATCAGACTCCAATCAATTCAATAAACATGCATCATTCGATTAAAATCAAACAGTAATATCATCCCAAGTCATTACAATCAAATCCCTAACACAAGGAACTAGGGTTCTTCATACCCAAGTGAGAGAAGGGTTCTACTCCATAGAGAGAGAAGAGAAAACAAGAATCGGATTAGTCATACTCATGACGATGAGGATAATCTGCTCCGGGACGATGATTTCCACTCCTATGACGATCTCCAAGCTCGATTCGATGAAATCCAGCTCTAAGACAGCTTCTAGGATGTGTTCTTCGTACTTTCTCTCTCTATGGCTCTGTTTTTGCTCTCAAAACACCATTCTCCCACTTTTGGCTCGGAATAGGCTCTAAAACCAGGATTTCCCGACTCGCACGGCCAGGGTGCACGGCCGTGCAGACCACCCACTTGGCCGTGCGGCCCCAAAACGCGGCGTATCAATTAGTTCGACCTCAGGCTTCTCACACGGCCAGGGTGCACGGCCATGCGATCTTCAGGGGTTGCCCGTGCGTGGCCTCGGCATAAAGCGCACGACCATCTTGCTCACGTGCACGGCCGTGCAGATCCCCTGGTCTGCCCGTGCAGCTCCCTAAAAACCTCGCCATTCGTCCGATCTTCGTCCAATCGACCCCATACTCGCTCCTAAGCCTTCATTCACGTACTAGGACCTGAAATATCACAAACAAGCACAACCTAGCGTGAAATCGGCCTAAAACACGAGAATCAACACCTCAAACGGTGTAAGAACGGGGGTAAAAACATGTGTAAATGACGGTCTATCAAACTCCCCCACACTTAACCGTTTGCTTGTCCCCAAGCAAACCAAGTCAGACACTAGGTAAGCTTACATATTTCAATCAACCAACATTGGGGACAAGTCATAAGGCACAGAACACGTGAATCGCACTGGTTTTCAAACATCAATACATGCACAACCTCAATAACAACCTGGACAACCACCACAAAGGACATTCGAGTGCAGCAAATCGAGTAAAGGAAGAGTCTCCCTTCTGTTCACTGGCCAACCTAGACTTGATTCAACCACTTACTCAAAACAGTCAACTCATGCATCCAACTCAAGACATCAGAATAGAGACCGAGCAATCTAGGTCCTCACCGGGGTACAAGAGCATATAGAAAATGAAAATGAATCACTCACTCTCGACCAGTGGGGTCAGGACAATTTGATGCGAAAGATGCGCATGCTATTTCTCTCAATACCTATCATCTCTTCACCATGATGGCAGCCTCTAAATGCTAGAGTTCACATATGGGGTGTCACCACTAACTAATCAGGAGGTCTTAGACACAGGTTCAAATGACTGGCTAGGGTCTTGGACATGGGGAAAAGGCCTTTTAGGTGGTGGAAGTATTCATAGCAAAAGGTTCCACATTTTCCAAACACACAATCACAGTCAAACAAACCAGTATTTTCTTTCTGCTATTCTGCATTACTCAACATCTCAAGAGCACAAGAGCGAAGGAGGCATAAACATCAGCATTTCCAAGCCAGACTGCTAAGAAACACTACTTAATGGGCATTATTCAGATTTTTGGTAGTGGCTCTCTTTTTGCTTTCAATTTTTCTTTGTTTTTCTTTCACTTTTCTTTTCATTTCTTAAGAGAGCCACCACTTCTGCACATATTTCAAACATCTGCCCAACTTTTAAGCACTACCTCCAACACTCACATAGACTTAAGCAGAAACAGCAGAGAATATGTAAAAACCACTCTGTGGAACCTTCTAAAAGATGCAACAAGGGTGATTTTTTTTCATTATAGACCAAAAGAAAGGATAACACACGGCTCAAAGGGGCTGACTAGGGGATATGACACATCAGGACAGTCAGTTTTTGGGCGTGGGCTAATCCTATGCCCCCATCATCTTAGCTAGTGACAACGTGAATGCTACACATCATGGAAGAGGGATCTATCGCACAAGAAAGAAACGAGCAGGCTCAAATCTCACATGGCTACCTATATGCTCTATCTCACATTCTGATACCCTGAACTAGATGCATAAACGACTGTCAAGAACAAGTAATCAGATCAAGTCAGATCAAGTCACAGTTGGCAAGCAAACAGTTGAAAAACTGAACCCCTACATCGTTCTACTGCACATCTCAGTCCTCATCATAGGTTGTCCTAGTCGCAAACAAGCTGTCATGCCTTAATCCGAAAACCAATCAATTCATCCATCAAAACACAGTGCCAATATGATCAAACAGCAGTACTTGGAGCCCTCAAATCGTAAGATTCGGACAGCGGACTAGGCTCCAAGCACCATCATAAATATTCCAACCGATACAAAGCACCCCCCCACACTTAAGCACGACATTGCCCTCAATGGAGTAGAAGGAAAGATAAGGGGAACGATGTTACCAGATAAGAACACTGCTGGGGGACTGGAAGTGGACCAGTCAGCGAGAAACAAACGGGAGAGTGGACAATGCTGCACAAATCGAACACCAGAAACACACTAGCACACTGTGCGTTAGGGATAAGTGTTAGCCCAGACGGCTACATCAAACCACAAAGGAAAACCAAAAACAAAAACAAACGACACTAAGTTCAAGCTCCGCACACATGGAGCAAACACACAAAAGTCTAAAATGAAAAAGAAAACACACTGAGACGGGCAACGAGTACAGCCTACTCGTCGCCAAGATCGTCGATGTCGTTCATGAACGCATCATCATCCGCAGCACCAGCAGCACCGTCATGTGGAGGGGAGTCATCCCAGGGAGTCCTCCAGACAGGTGGATCGCCTGGGATTAGCTGCAGCAGGTGCTGCTGAACCTCTTGCATGCGCCGTGAATGGCGCTTCTCCCGCTCGATGTGGGCGAGAGTCACGCCCTGCTGAGTCTGGATCGTGGTCAGCCGCTCGTCATAAGCAGCCATCCTGTTCCGGTACTCGGCCTGGTCGGCCGCATACTGCTGATGGAACTGCATCTGTTGATCAAGGATCAGCTGGTTCTGGATCCTCAGCTGCTCGAACTGCTGGGCGAAGTAATCCTGGCCCTGGAACGCGGAGCTGCCACCCTCGTAATGGAAGTCAGTCTGTGGTGGAATATCAGCAGCAGCAGCATCCACCTCCTCGGGATCCACCTCATCAGCAGCCTCCTCCACCTGGCCCTCTGGCTGGGCCTCTGGTATGGGCTCCGCGGGGATCGGAGGTTCCGGAAACCCATCGACCCATTGAACACCGTTCCTCTCCCGCAACAGCAGCATCTTCCCGATCGTCTTGCTGCCAAAGATGAGGGTGTCCCCCTCCTCGGTGCACCCCTGCAGTGAAAGGCCAAAGAAGGTGGCCAGACGGGTGATGAGGGGGGCGCAGTGGAGCCTCTTCAGCTCTGTGGCCGTCTTCTCGAAGGTCTTGGCCACCACCGAACCCAGGTGGAGAGGCTGGCGGATCGAATGGATGAAGTACAGGGTCCTCTTCGTGATGGCGCTGGCACTGTCTCCTGCAGGGGTGTAAGACTTCGTCAGCAGGTGGTGGAGAAGTCGGTTGTCGATCTGCAGGGTAGATGCCTTCGTCCTCCCGGACCGGAAGGGACGCGTCTGGCCTGGCCGAGCCAGGCTGGTGTACAGCCGCCCGAAGTCCACCTCCGATGGCTCATTTACCTCGGTGATGTAGTCCTGACGGTCGTGGAGGTCGAGGTCGAGAGCCTCTGCCAGCTCGTGGTAGCTCAAGGACCGGGGGACACCGCCCAGCCTGAATTGGACGGCTGTACCGTCCTGCCAGTTGTTCGTGGTATTGTGCTTGAAGGTCGTGTAGAACTCCCACACCGGCTTGTAGTAGACCTTCTCACAGAGCTGGAGCAGACGGCGCCATGCGGTGTTGGCGACCGCGGCGGAGAGCTGCTCGTAGCAGTGCAATCGCCGAAACTCCCGTTTGGACCAGCAATGGTGGGACCCAAACGGGGTTTCCACGACCTCCTTGAAGCGCGCTGCGGTGGGGCCCCTCCTGAGATCCCGGATGAATGGGTGCTGGAGATTAGGTTGCGCCATTGCCCTGCAAAAGAACAACCCAAAGTGGAACCAAAAGGGCCAAAGAAAAGGTCAAAAACTCGATAGATCAAGCATAATCTGGGTGGGGGTGCACATTCACAAGAAAATAGGCAACTCAAGGTTCACATCCATAGCAAATACACCCTCAAACGACATCATTAAGGGCCCCAACTGGTGGCCACAACAAGGCATGGAAAACAGGCATTTCACTGAACACCTTGTGTGCACTACTAAGTGAAACATGAAATTGGCCAAATTCTTGCACACAAGGGCTCAAACAAGCAAAGGGGACTTTTCCCAACATAATTCAATCACATCCCATGCATTCCCCTCAATCAATTTCACAAAAATCACATGATTCAATAAGGTTCTCTAACATACACCCTACACACTCAATTCTCC